CTTTTGCTTTTCAAGGTTATTTGAAGCCGAAGCCTTTCGTAGCATGTATCCCAACACATCAGCGGAGTTTTTCTGTTTGCATTCATTATTCATTGCCTCAAAAAAAGAAGTCTTGAAATAGATGGTAGCAGCACAGCTGTCCCTCTGCAGCCCGTCGAGACTGGCGCTGAAAATCAAACTGCCTGCTTGTCAGTCAAATATCTTGAGAGACGGCCATCATGGTTGCCCTAGTTTGAGCATCCACAGTCTTTCTGTTGCATCAAAGTCACAGACGGATCATACAGTAAGAAGAAAACCTGCATTAGCGATGCAGCCGACACACTGCAAAGATGATTTGTTTTTCTGAGAGAAAATCTGTTTCTGTGATTGAAGCCTGACAGCGCTGGTGGGCGCCCACAGCCAGGTGCATGCTGGGAACAACAACAAAAAAAGAATGTTGTAGACATAACGTGATTGAGCATTTGTGTGAAAGTTGTAAATATGATTGGATTTAAATCGTAGTTGTAGTGAATAAACAATCCAGATCAACTGCATGTGGTTGAAATAAGTTTCCTCTGTAGGACGTTAGAGATCAGGCGAGGAGCTCTGACATCCGGAATCGCTGCTCCTGGGCATGTAATTAGCAAACCTCCTGCACGCCTTCCTTTGGCAGTGTTCCAGGTACACCGAAGTGGAAGGAAACCCCGTTAAGACCCAGATCTGTCTGGAAGGCTCACATGTCTCATCTGTCTTGTGAACACCTCAAGATTCCCAACTGGGAACTGGAAAACATTGCTGGGACGAAGGACGTCTGAAATAACCTGCTTAGCCTGCTGCCAACGAGTCCAGCTGTGGTTAATAGGAAGGATATTGATGGATGGAGTTAGCAAAGTATAATGACTAAACCAAAGAATCAACTCAGTGAAAACAGGGTGAAAAAAAGAGTTTACCAACCTGTCTACCAATACAAACCTTTGTAGCCAGCTGTCTAGCTCCCTGCCTAAATGTTTAGCTAACCAGCTAACTACATGCCTGCCTACTTACCTTCCTGTCTAGTTACCTACCTACCTGTTTACCTAGCTAGCTACTGACTTACCTGCTAATCTTAATACCTGCCTTTATACCTTCCCGCCTGTCTACCTGCCAAACCATCTGTCCACATACCAACCCATCTGTCTACATACCTGTCTACCTAGCTAGCTACTGACCCAACCTACCAATCTTTATACCTGCCTTTATACCTGCCTACCTGTCTACCTACCCATCTAGCTAGCTACCTGTCAGTCTACATACATACCTGTCGACCTAGCGAGCAACTGACTCAACCTGTCAATCTTTATACATGCCTTCTAGCTAGCTACCTGTTAGCCTACCTGTCTACCTGTCTACCTAGCTAGCTATTGACTTACCAACTAATCTTTATCCCTGCCTTTATACCCACCAACCTGTCTACCTACTCATCTAACTAGCTACTTGTTAGCCTACATACCTGCCTCCCCACTACCCTCCTACCAAGCTACCCACCCGTTTAGCTAACTTGCTACCTGTCTAGCTATCTGCCTATGTACTTACCTGTTACAATACACTTTGTCATGGTTGTACTTTGCTAGCTAAACTCCCACAATCCACTTTGTCAGTGGAAGTCAGAGTAACCACCTCCTCTGGTCTCTACAGTATTAAATAGTAAGAGGCTCCACCTGGTGGAACAACCAGGTACTACAGCTGATCTACAGTACATTTTCTGACATGCACGACCGTCTTCTCTCTCTCTCTCTTTTTTTATTGGTTAATATGTATTTTGATCAGTAATGGATAACGATAGTCAATCAATTACTGTTAGCTATCTGCCGACCTGTCTAGTTACCTGTATACTGTATAGACAGTTAAAAAGAAAGCTATCGGTGATAAATGAATAGGCTGAATAGTATAATGGATGTAATGTAGCAGATAAACAGTTTAGCCTGTTAGCTAAACCGTGGAGATAAATGACTGTAACATTTAGCTGCTGCTACCACGAGGCTACAATAACTAAATGAATAATTATCGTCCACTTTAGATTCAGTCCAGAGGAGCCTGTTTGGAGCGCGATGAAAGGCGGCCTGAGTTCGGGATGATTTACAGTTTCCTCTCTGAGCGGCCGACAGGAGGAGGCCGGCGTCTTCGGAGCCGTCAGCTCGTCCTCCAGCAGGATCTCATCTCTGACTGAATTATGAATCACTGTAATGGAGTCTTTTCAACTTTTATTCTCTTCATGTCGCTCCTATTTTCCCCCCCTCCGCCCGGTTTCGTTTTATGTCTGGCTTGAACCCCCGCCGTCGAGCTCGCCGAACCCTCCCCCGACGCCTCCCACTCTGCTGACTCGCTGCTCCACGCTGGGGAACTTATAGAGGTCAAGATCCTAATTTTAGGCTGTCAGAAATTATTAAAATTCATGCGTCGGTGACATCGTCTCGCGGTGTCAAGGACATCTGAGCAGTATCGGTGACAGAGGAAGAGGAGTCGACTGCCTATCAGTCTGAGGACGACGCTCGTGGGGAGATGATTAAGTGCACTTCTTAAGATAAAGGACTCGTCTCACGATAACTCCATTTCCTCTGCTGACGATTGCTGAGGCTCTGAGTGATAGAGTGGAGGAGACAGAGCTGTCAACACAGAAATAAACGCATTCTGACTCGATTGCTAATGTTTTTTTGAAATATTATCCATTTTTCAGGCTCGCGGTCCCCCAGCCGTCTCGTACGAGCAGTCGTTCCGCCGTAAAACATGAAATATTTTCTTTTTCCGGCGCGATAACAGCGCCGTGTGGCAGCCTCCATCAAAAGCAGCTCAGCGCTGAAGGGTTGTAACCCTTAAAGGATCATTACGGTGTGTTTCGGCTTAGTGTGTCCACATTAACCCGCTGAACCCCAACACTCTCTGGGTGTCGAGTTTCACCGTGAGCTCATTTTTCACTGCGATATGAAGTCCTGAACCTCTGTGGAAAGAGAACAACAATGAAGAAGGGGAGAGAAATGTCATCTGTGCAGAATGACAGAAATGCTCACAAAATACAGAGCTGGAGTTCTTGGACTGAAATTCGTAGCTATAACGGTTTTGCAAGTCTCCACAAAAATATTGGCTCCACATAATATAAATATTCAACTATTTACATGTTACAACCTCTACGAATGGATTGTTTTCCATAGAAAGATGTTCCACCATCAGATGTAGAAAGATGTTCCACCATCAGATGTAGAAAGATGTTCCACCATCGGCCGTAGAAAGATGTTCCACCATCAGCCGTAGAAAGATGTTCCACCATCATGTAGAAAGATGTTCCACCATCAGCCGTAGAAAGATGTTCCACCATCATGTAGAAAGATGTTCCACCATCAGATGTAGAAAGATGTTCCACCATCATGTAGAAAGATGTTCCACCATCAGATG